GTACTATAACACTACTCCCTGAAGAGGTAACCCTAAAAATCTTTTAAGGATTAGATAAAAGCTCCCAAATACTTTTGCCATTTTTGGCCTTTGGAACAGAGTATGTTGCTAAGACGCCCAAGAACATTTTGACTTTTAGCCAAGAAACTGGCTACTTTTTTTTGGGGTCTTTTTACCCTAACTGCCTAGCCAATTCCTGCCTCCTATTCTTATCACACCACCCTCTGAAGAGGTTACCCAACGTGCGGATAGGGAATCGGGACACAGACCACTCTCGCTTCTTCCATGCTTACCAGGGACGCAGGGTGAGGCAATTGGGGTACCCCTTCAGTGGGTCTATCTAAAAGACTCCCAAATTGCATAACTCTTAACTAACTGTAGAGAGAAAAGAAAGCCCTTGACTGGGGTTTTTCCTTGGTGAGGACATTCTAGAATGTTTCTTTCCCATCAACTAGTATTATCTGAAACTAGAGTCACAGTTATCATGTCATACACAGTGTGAGTAAAAATATATCTTTTCTATCATAAAGGGTTTTGGTTTTCAAATATTATGATTGTGTGCTCCAGCACTTTATGAGGCGGTGGTTAGTAAAATACTGGATGTGGTCCATTTAATGATATGTAAGTTATCTCAATACAGCTGTTGCATTAAAAAAGTCACATAAGTGCTCAATAATTACTTGAAAAGTTCTAAAATGGGAAATTAAGTGGTCTATACATAAAATTAGGCACAAAAATATAGTCATTTTCCTTTAAATCTCTTTTATAATTTATTACCTTAACATTTTCTAGGAGCTTTTACAACGAAGGTTTTACAACAAAGTACTCTACAAGTCATTAATAAAGTAGCAAGGCCTGTCAGTGATATTCTTGTGAAAAAATGAACTTTAGACTCAAAAGTGAGCTGTGAGTAAGAGAGATGCCGGATGTCAACCTGTGCACAAATCCACACACACGTACATAAAAATCCCAAACAAAAAATATTTGGACATTACAAAGGTTACTACATGTCATGTCTGTAGATAGAATCTCTGTGCTGTGATGAGGAGACACAGCTCAGACACATTCGAGTCCAGCACTCTAAGACTGTGCACCTGCCACGGTGTGACTCTGAGCTCTGCGTGTTCCAGCGCCCCCTGCTGGTCCTGAACACCCTGCAGGGAGGTTTGAGTCTGAGATCCCAGTGACTTCCCCTCACTGTGTCTCTTGCACAGTAATACATGGCGGTGTCCTCAGATCTCAGACTGCTCATGTCCAAGTACAGGGTGTTCTTGGCATTGTCTCTGGAGATGGTGAATTGGCCCTTCACGGAGTTGGCATAGTATATGGTACCACCATTATAATTAATGTATGCCACCCACTCCAGACCCTTCCCTGGAGCCTGGTGGACCCAGTTCATGCCATAGTTACTGAAGGTGAATCCAGAGGCCACACAGGAGAGTCTCAGGGATCCCCCAGGCAGCACCAAGCCTCCCCCAGACTCCACCAGCTGCTCCTTACACTGGACACCTGAAAACATAGAGAATCCTGGTCAGGAAACTATCACACATGGTCACTGTCCCTCTCATCCATGTCTATTCACACACTCAGCATCTCTAGTTTTCCATAAATTACCTTGTAAAAGCACAACAAGGAAAAGCCAGCTGAGCCCCAGCTCCATGGTGAGTCTGTTCAGTGCTGGTCACTGAATGAGAACACAGGAAATGCAGGGCTGGGCTCCTCTGCTGAGCTGCAGGGTCAGGGCTGGGCTGGTTTTCATGAGCATAGGGAGGCCTTATTTGCATGAATTCTTGCTATGTATAAGGTCTGGGACTGGAACTCTGGGCGAAGACAGTGCTCAGAGAAGATTGAGTCCTCAGAGATGTTGATGATAGTTATAGAAGTTTAGAGAGTATGGTAGCTCATTATGTACATTTTGTGTGTTAAGAATTTGTCATACAGTATTGGAGAGACGACTCAGCAGTTCACTACTGAGAGCACTCACTCGGTTCCCAGCACCCAAATCTGGTGTCTCACAAACTGCATGTAAATACAACTCCATGTGAGCCTGATATCTCTGTCCTCCACAGGCACCTGCACACACCGGTACACACCCAAACAGACACACAGGCATACGCACAAATAAAAAATAAAGAGAAATAATTAAAAAGACATTACTCACCATGCTTCATTTACATCACTATGTCCACATGCACAGGATAGGCCCGTCTGTACTGTTCTCTCCTTCATAAGTTTGTGAAAAGACTGTCACAGTGAGGTGTGTTTCTGTAGAGGAGCTCAGTCATCCTGTGTCTCCCTGACTGACTGGACCTGTGGCCCTCTGAGCTGGAACGAACTCCTCCCTGATGCAGCTCAGTCACCCTTTGGGATGTCCTTGTCATGGAACTTCACTGAATTTTACTTATTTTTTATATTTTTATTGAATTTCTGTGTATTTCATACACAACATCTTAATCATCCTTATACCCCCTCCCCTCGGCCCTTCCATACCCTCCACTGGATTTCATGCATTCTGTCATTCATGTTAAGGTCTGTAGAGTCAAGTTTGTGTGTCCTGACATTCCACAGTGCATGT